CTGAGATTTACAGAAATTAAATGATTCATTCAAGTCCATTCAGAAGTTCAGCAACAGATCCAGGATTCAAATCTAGGTTCTGACTTAAAAAAAAAAAAAAAGGTGTGGTCTTGGCTACAATCATGCTATCTAGATTCTTTAAAATTCAGGTAAAGATCTGAACACAATTTGCAAAGAAGACATGTAAAGCAGAAAGTATCAATGTAATACATGAAGCTCATCAAAACCTCCCTAAGCACCTTAAGGGAGGGAAGCATAGGTCTGGCCAATTCAGGAATACATTTATTTCAGTAGATGGATTTTTATCTGTCTAGAGAGGCCCAATTTTTGTTTTTATTGTGTTAGATCCAATAATTCTTCCTGGAAAGGCTACAACTTTGTCAACTTCCTTTTGTTTTCCAATTATGATTTCTTGGAATTGTGGAGAATGGCAAGCAGAAAAAATAGCTAAAACTTACTTACATATGTTTTTAACAAATAGTTATAAAGTGATGTCTGTATGACCACCTCCCCAGGTGGAGAAATAAACTTTACTTGTACCCCGGAAGCAGCAGAGCTAGCTCATGCCTTCCCACCCGAACCCCCTGCTCCCCACAGAGAAAGCCGTCATCATGATTTTTACTTCCTTTCCCACCTTTGTATGCCTCCCTAAACATACAGCGTATTTCCCTCTTTTGGGACTTAATATACAAGGACTCATACAATAAATGTTCTTATGTCTGTGTTGGTTTACCTGTGGCAATCTCCCTTCATCTCACTGACTTAAAATTGAAAACTGGTCAATCAGGAGTCAGAAATGACGATGCTTCTGGGAATGTGTGGCTTGGATCTGTTTTTGAGGTGTGTAGCACATTTCCAATGTAGCTACCTGTTACAGCCCCCTACAACACTGGGGACCTGTCGCATTTCACCTTTGCATCCCCACGGTGCATGATGGGCCTTGCCTAGAGAGATGATTAATGAGGATGTTTTTGAGAGGTGTATGGACGTGGCTCATCACACAACATCCTGGGCCTATTATTTGGTTTTGTTTATGTTAATAGCCAGGTCCAAATTAATAGACTGAGGGAAAGATGAGGGATTGGTTATTTAGAAATCCACTTTTCTAAAAGCTAGCAAAAAAAAGTATAACTAACATGCCAAATGGTATGTAAGAAGAAATCATCAGAATATAATATGATAATACTTTGGGACGATTTGAACTCCCTCTGCTAGTGCTATTATAGGTCTAAATGTGTTAACTGGAAGCAGCACAACCATTTTTTTCCAACCATTTAACTTGGCAATAGTCAACTCATTAAGGACAGTAACAATGACCTTCTTTAGGTTTGTGCTGTTTCGCTTAATTAAGATAGTCCCATTCTAAGCATTTCATTAACCAAAATCAATATCAGCCCCAAACCAAAACCAAAACCAAAAACCCAAACAAACCAAAGCCCCCACAAAACTTCAAAAGGTTAACAAAATACTGACTACGTTCCAAGAGTATAGTAGCAGATTATTGCTTTGGGCTAAGTACCTAAAATATGCTTGTTTTGAAAACCCAACACATTTAAATCTTCTGGGGTATATATGTTGTGTATATAAAAGTACATATATATATGTATTTTTTCCCATATAGTGTCATCTCTGCTAACTCCTAGGATAGTTAATGTAACCACTTGCTAAGCTGTTAAATATTTCATTGTAAATATAAACATTTCAAAGTGCAAAGCTATACCGACATTAAAATCCACTTGCAGTCTAAGGTGGACAGAGATTATATACAGAAAAATGGGAAAAGGGCAGCTATGGAAGATGCTTAGTGTTCGATAAAGTACATATTGTAGAAACAACTGGGAAACCATGGAGAAAGAGAAGCGACTGGAACACCTCAGAAGCCAGGCTGCTGGACAAACCACATGTGGGTCGAGCACATTTTGCCATTTCCATGAAAAGTACCCAGAAAATGCTGCATGGACGAACCATGGGGTTTAAAACTGTCCTTCCACAGGACCGGCCGAGTGGCTCAGTTGGTTAAGAGTTAGCTTAAGAATGTGAGCTCTGAGCAACAGGGTTGCCGGTTCGATTCCCACATGGGCCAGTGAGCTGCACCCAAGCTGAGCTGCTGGTGAGCTGTCAACAGGTGGCAAAATGGCTCAGCTGGTGAGAACATGTGCTCCTAACAAGGTTGCCGGTTCGACTTCCGCATGGGATGGTGGGCTATGCCCACCTGCAACTAAGATTGAACACGGCACCTTGAGCTGAGCGGCTGTGAGCTGCTGACGGGCGGCCAGGTGGTGACTGGACTTGGAGCTGAGCTAGCTGCGCCCCCCACAACTAAGATTGAAGGACAGCAATTTGGTTGTTCCCCTCCCCCAATTCCCCAATACAAATCTTAAAAAAACCCCAAAACACCCAAAACAAAAAAAATACTGTCCTTCCACAAACTATTAAAAAAAATTGAGTTGTCAAGGATGAAAAAGGTAGTTAGCAATTGTTTTAATAGCCCACGTGTAAACTAAATGTTATGATGAAATGATATTGAGAATCAATCGTTCAGTTGTCCCTCTGAAATATCTAATGGCCAGTGTCATCAACTGGCCCGCACCCATAGAGTTACTTGATACTTTCTGGCTACAACTAACGCAATTCTCAAAGAAATCGTCTCCTACCAGAACGGCTGATACTATTGTGGAAAGAGACGTTATTCATAACATTATCTATTTCATTCGTCAGTCAGGGCAACTCATCTATTTTTAGACTTAAACTTCTGAAGAAAACTGCTAGGATCTAAAGAGCTTGGCCATAAAACTGTTTGTATTGAAAAGTTAGCCAGCGTGCCTTTAAGTGAACTTCGTTCATTACCATTTGTACCGGCAAGGTTTCCATATCTTGGCGTGCATTTTATACTTTAATTTGGTTAGTAGGTCTTTGTTTAATCATCCTATTGAAAGGTGAACAAAGGCGGTTTAGGTGATACAGGAGAGTAAAGCACTATATTTTATCTCTGAAAAAAGCCGGACAAAGCCAGAAGGCTCTGATACCCTCTGATTTTCTTCAGGACACTTGGAACCACACATCAGCTGGAGGATAAAGACCCTCACTGTACTTAACTGCAGACACCTCCAGAAGAGAAACACCGTGTCAGTCATAGAAATGATGCTTTGCCAGCTACACGGGGCTCTGAAGGCAGCTTATCTCAGCAGAGGGGTTTCTGTTTCCTGGGGTGGGTGGGGGGAGGGAAACCTCCTCCAAGAAAACCACTAGCCAGGGCAGGTTTTCCCCGACGGCGTCTCTTTATAAAGTATCGATGTGGAGGTCAGATGATAGTGCTGGTGTAAGTGAAAACAGTCCCTGAGTGTACTGACAACTGGACGACTTCTAACGCTCCAAAGGGAAATACCTTCCATTCCTTTGCATCGAATTTTCTCAGTCGCAGTAGTTCCTCAAATTCCTGCTGCTCTGGGATTTCCTTCTTCCTCCAAAGTCAAAACCCATTTTCTTCTGATCGCTTGGGTCTCCTTACATGTTTCTCCCGAAGAAATCGTCTTTCCCAGTTGTATCCTTCTTCTCTCATCCGATACAGGCTTTTTCTTTTCCCATTTTGTCGGACTTCATTAAGGGAAGCGAATAACCTCCACTCTGTCAGTCAGGTCTGTGGCATTTCTAAGCTACTTTTTTCTTCAGTCCTGCTTTGTGGAGAATGACTCTGCCCAACTTTCTAACTTTGCTTTGTAACACAGGTGTTTTATTTTCCAACCGACATTTCTTTTTGCAGTTTCTTGAACTCGTTTGCTAGACGTGTGGACAGCCATCCAGTAGAGACCGAGACCACCGGGCCATTTCACACAGGCCACTGAACAGTCAGAAGATGGGAACAACTCTGGTCTCCAGTGACCCGGGCTGGATTCAACTCACTGACCTAGAGGTGAAAGGCTCTGTATTCCATTACTAATCCCTTGAGCTATCCAGCCCCCTGAAAATGATTCTTTGGTTTTATTATTGCAAAGGCCATTTATAAAATCATGAACTGGATTTAGGAAAGCAACCATGAAATAGCAAGGGACAACAAACTGATTGAAATTCCTTCAATGTAGTATGGGCTGAAGCCTCTTAGTAGGATTGGGGGTTAAGTTAAATATAGGCACCTCCATTCTTATTTCAGTAGCTTGACTGGCTCACTTAACGTGGCAACTTTAGACCCACCGACCATGCCTCAAGGATCTAAATCCTAAATAAAGAAAATGGAAAAGCAAACTATGAAATAGCCAATAATCTTTATTTTGCACTTCCCTACCCCCCCCCATCCCTCTCCAAAAAGCACTATAAGGGTATATTTGTGCATGTGAAAATATTGTATAAAGTATTTAGAATGATCTTAAATTAATAAAACAAAAACATATATCTTAACATAGATGCTTTGTTTCTTTGTAGGGACAGAAAAATTTGGCTTCTAGTAACAAGGAGGGCAATGAAATTCTACACCCTTAAAAGGGCTACTCCATTCCCACTGATTTGCAATTTAACATTCAAGGCAGAAAACCTCATTTCTCTAACAAACCTCATTTCTCTAACCACATAATATATCTTAAAATATGACTAATTTGTACACTAACATCAATTTACTTGGCATTAAAAAAAAATCACAATTTCTATTAATATATTTGTATTAGGTTCAAAGCCCATATTCTAGCATTTAAGATATCCATTACACTGGCCCAAATTGGGATTACTTCAAAATCAAGTAAAAGTCCATATTTATTCCAAAGTTGCTAAAATATGCTAATAAAATTAAATTTGATGTTTTACATTAAAAATAAAATATTTGGTTTATCTCTCAGACATCTATATAACATATAATAAATAGTGGGCAGTATAGTAATAGAATAAAATTTTGTGATACCCTGAAATTTGATGAATTTTCTTAAAAAAATTCATAATATTCTTCATTTCAGCCTTAAACCACAATATCAATGAAATAGATTTTTCAGAAATAAAACAATATAAACACAAAATGCTACAGTATATATATATATATATTTTTACTTTTGGGGAATCTACATGTCCTTTTAATAAAAGTAAGTCAAAGAAATTTACAGGAACAAAATAGATAACAATTCCAAATCATAAACTATAGATTTAAATTGTCGTGTTTCCCTCCTGACTGCTGGGGCCCTTTCCCCATGTTCTGGGCCCTGTGTGGGTTCAGCTCAAGGCAGATGGCATTTTCTAGCCTCCTTTGTTTATGTAACAGCAGGAATCACAGACATGGCTGAAATCACAGATTTCAGAGAAAGCCTGAATTAAACACGATAAAAATTTAAAAAATAACTACTTCATAAATATTTATTATTTACATGAGGGGAGATCCTCTAGTCTGAAGGTTTTTTACATAAGTTTATGAAATGTATAAGCAGTGAGAAGAACGCCAGCAGTTTGAAGAAGCGCAAGGTGAGAATGCAACCAAGACAGAAATTACGTGAGTCAACAAAAATAATTTGCACGAAAGCAAACAGGACATGATAGAAACTTTTTTCTTAAAAAATATAAGGTATTTCACAAAAGCCTGAACATTTTCCATGTTAGTACTAAAAACGGGAAGGAGGGGAAGCTTCGTATATTTTCATCACAAAAATATCTACCAGTGCTCCAACTGGAGTTCTCTCTTATGTTGTGACGATTATCTCACTATAAGGGAAAGAGGCTGAAAGCTGTATACAGACTACCGACGTCATCTTCATATCACAGTCAAGGCAGTTTACACATCATCTGTTCACCTAATATGTTCGTGAAAAGGCCCTTTGAGAGAATAAAGAAAATCAAAAGGGAAGATTATGGTCTTTTTGTTAATAATACTTGTCACTGGTAACAGGAAAATGGAGGCATGGCAGTCCTCACGCCACAGCCCTACTTGAGTTTCTCTTTGATCACACTGTCCGCCGGTGGCCGCAGGCCAGTCTGTTCCCGAAGGGATGTGTCCAGTGCAGATGGTGTCCTCTTGTCCGTGGCCTTCCGAGATTCCCCCTCCGCGGCAACTTGGTGTAGCCCGGATGGCACAATCGCACCGAGTTCCCGCCACGAGGCAGGAAGGGCGCCCCGAGCCCATGCCGTGGGGCCCCGCAGGAGACCGACGTCAGTGCGCCCGATGCTTTCTCTTTTTGTGCTTTTTGTCCTTTTTCTTGTTGGAACACTTGGGACAGAACCACTGCATCTCTTCTGGTGGTGCGGCCATTAATCCCACGCAGGGCCTACATATTCAAAAGAAAGATTTCGGATACACACATTACATGTATCTCTTTAGGCTCTTTTTCTTTCTATGTTTTTAAATAATTTTAAATAATTAAATGAAAACTTGAGTCTATGGCGTTATTTCCCAGAAATCCAAGCCAAACAGCTCTAATTTATGTAGCACTTTTGCTGGGCAAGTAGATGTTACATTACATAATGCCCCTTTTATAGGCTCTAGTGGAGAAATTAATTAGTTCATTTATCCTCTCAGCCAGGACTAGTATAATTCTTCTGAGTAACAGCTTTGTTTTTATCTTATAGCTATCATATATCATGTGACTAAATGGATTTCTATCTTTTTATATCTGATATTTTAAGGATAAAATGAGATTATTTGCATAAATTTTGGTAGCATTTCTTCAATTGCGGGGAGCTAGTAAAAAAACCAGATAAACTGTCTCTTTATTTCTGCAATTTATGACATGTGTTCAAAGGGGTTACCTCAATGTTACTGTCAAGCTTGGCAACTCTTATAGAAAATATCTCCTTTTTTGTTTCTCAAGGATATATAAGTTAAGCAAAATATTCAGAATTTAGGCTGAATAACAATAGTCCAAAGACTCTTGATTTTTCCCACTGATATTAATTACATGTTACTGGCTCAGTGATTTGGCTTCGTATGCTGTTTGTGGGACAGTAGTCGAACTGGGAGAAAAGCCAGGATGGACCCAGGTTACTCATGGGCTCTGTGGAGTCCTCCTCTCAGGGCCAAGTTCAGAGCACTCACCAGTGGTACCAGTCGTCACAATCGTCACACCCGATCATGGGACTCCCGTCATCAGGCTTGTCGCATCCTGGACAGATCCAGATCTGATTTCCCGACTCATCTCGGATCTGAGATGTTGTGTTTTTTTGTGTGGGGGTGGGGGGGAGTGGGGAGAAGGGGGAGGGACAGAGATAGAATGGAGAAAAAGAACCAAAGAGAGGGCAGGATGAGAATGATCACTTAATACTGTGACTCTAATACACCGACAAGTTTAACTAATGAAAATCCAGTAGTTAATTCATTAAAGCCACGATCATGGTCATCACTCTCCTGGGATCACGTGCCACAAGGAACAGCTACTAAGTGCTCGGTGAGAAGACACTTCTATTGAGTATTTTAAAGTCTCTTTTGGGAGTCACAAAAATGAAGCATTTTATGATAATTTCTGTGAACAACATGACCTTTAGCCACCCTTATCTGAAGAAATGCTGTAGACACAGAAGCTCTTAAAAATCAGGGTCTTGGGCCGGCTGAGTGGTGTGTTGGTTCGGAGTTACACTTGCGATGCCAGCTCTGAGCAGCAGGGCCCCGGTTCAGATCCCACATGAGGGCCAGTGATGCTGCGCCCTCTACAGCTAAGATGGTGAACAACAGCTTGATCTGGAGCTGGGCTGCTGTGAGTTGCCAGCGACGGCGTAGGCTGCAGTGGGGCTGGCCGGCAGCTGGCGTGTGCTTTCGTGAGCCACCTTGAGTGGCCATCTAATGGCCGGCGAGTGACTGCCTCACCCAGGAAGAGCGCAATGATAATACCAACATGGACCAAATGAAGCGACGTCTTCCACAACTAGACTGAAGAACAAAAGGACAGCAACTTGTCTGTTCTCCTTCCCCGATTCCCCAACGCTGCTCACCTCCCCCAATTCTCCAATAAAAAAATCTTAAAAAAAAAAAATCAGCATTTTTATGGCAGCACCAACAGATGCTTCTGAATGCTCGAGGGCTCCCCTGTGTCTGATCCTCAGTCAGCATTGCGGGCACGGAGTGACTGCATACCCCAAATGGGCATGCATCAGCTTATTACTTATTAGCCAAACCCTTCTCCTGAACTAGCTGATAAGATCAAGGATATAAAAGAGTTGTTACTGAGTAACTTTCCATTCCCCTTATGACATTTTCAGCAAAGTACAATCACTAAAGGGCAAATGAAATGAGCGACCTAGCAGGACAAAGAGCTACATATTTGAACATTATTTTGCTACAAATGTGTGTGCTCTGGAGTTTATTGAATTTAGTAGTTCTAAAATAAGGAGCATCCCTAGTTGTTCCACTTCCTCAAATTCCACATTAACCAGGCCAACTTGGAAGAAACAATGCTATCATAGGTATTTGAAAACAGCGACCACTGAAAGCTAATTTTCACAATGACACAGCAGATACTTTCATTCAGCTTATTTTGCAAGGTATGGGCTCTTCCTTTATTTTTCAAACACAACAATGATTAGACATGCAGAAAAGAAAGGACTTTCTTTGTGCGTGATGGGTGTAGGGGGTAATGTGTTTCACTCTACCTATCTGCCACTTTCAAAAACATCGCTACAAACACAAACAAGTTGCTATGAAAGCTTTCTAAAGGAATCTGTGGGCAGCTCCCGCTCTGACTTGGCCCTCTCTCATATCCAGGGGAGAGCGCCACCAGTTACCACGGGCCAGCTGTCTAGGGTGAGCATCCCATGCCGAGGTGGCCACGCATGGCCAGGCCCGCTGCAGGCTGACCTTTCGTGAAACTGGAAGGCTGTGACTCTGCGGCTACACGAGAAATTTGCCACAGCATCCATAATAACCAGCACCGAACACTTGACAATTTATTCTTTCAAACATCTACTTCATATAACCATCCTAAAACAACCCTGGGGGAGGTTAAGAATGGGAAAAATGGAGCTAAGGGAATGTAAGTAACACTATTCAAAGTCACACTATTAGGTGGCGCAGAATCAGCTATTTTGTTCGACAGTCTGTCTTTCCTCCAAAGCACGTATCTTATCCTCGGACAGGAGGCTTTTCATCTACATCTATGCAAATCTGATCCACTTCCAGGGACTTAGCTCAAAAATCCACCGGAGAATCAGAAATTTTCAGGCTAGTACATACTATAGTAATCATCTAGACCAGGGGTCGGCAAACTGTGGCTCGCAAGCCATATGTGGCTTTTTGGGTATGTTTCATCTCAAAAGTTTGCTGACCCCTGGAAGAGCCAATCCTGTCCCTCACAGCAATTTAAACATTATTCGAGAGCCATAAATATATTTTTACATAATCACCATTATGTGAATAATATTCTTTAAAAACTTTATAAAGGAAACAATGATAGTTTTATTTTCATTTTCAATTTTACTTCCGAGCTACATGTATGTACCCAAAGAGCCGCATGTGGCTCGCCAGCTGCAGTTTGCCGACCCCTGGTGGCTCTTCCATCTCAAAAGTTTGCTGACCCCTGATCTAGTCTAATGCAAACCCCTACCTAGTTACAGATGAAGAAACAGAGGCTGTTTCTTCCTGATCATCCCACCTTCGGGTGATGTGGCCTCAGTTAAACACTGATGGCAACTATCCTGAAGTTAATGTGATGATCACAGGTTTTTCTGTCACATCTCCTGTTTTTGTCTTGAATTGCTAATTTAATATCTTTCTGTTAATTTTTCATGTCTTTGTATCCTCTCTCAATACTTTTTTTTCTTCTTATCCTTTGTATCATTATAGTGCCGCAAAGAGATGTATTGTTTGCGTGATTTATGACTCTCATGAACCCTAACCCACCACTTTCCAACCACATCTATTCAGAAAGACCCGAGCCTTCACTAGGCTGACAGATCACAGTCCACACATTTGGTGTCACAGCAGTGTCAGTGGCCAAACTCACTTCACAAGGTGAGTTCTGCTGTCTGAAAACACGCTCAGCTACTCAGGGAGCTCTGTGGTCTGGAAGTTCATTTCCATTCTGGAGGTTAGCCAATGAAATGCCATAATTAGTGCTATTACTCAGAAATAGCGGCTGGCCCATCAGAGCTGCGTATATGGCGCAAATTATACTCTTAAGTGAACAATATAATTGCTTGGTCAAGAAAGTCAATGTGGGATTTAAATATCACTCTTCCTCTCTGTATCTATACATTGATATTGTATATATGTATATAGTCATATTCTAAAACAATATAAAGAAAAACATGCTTTGACATTATTTATGGACACTATATATATCAGCACTGTCATCTAATATTTCTCAGCCAAAACCTCGAAAATGCAATGAAAATACCTTTCCTGTCATAAAGAATTGCCTCTGAAATTCAATAATGATACATAGGATACTGCTTTTTTAATTGGAAACACTTTCATGATAAAAGAGTATAAGCTCTGAAGTGACTTTTTCTTAAATATTAAAAAAATAAACGTAGCATACCACGTAATTGCTGACCGTCTCCGTGACCACGCTCCGGACCGGGGCTTTGGAACTTCCGGCTCCAGAGATGGCGGGGGACGGAGAGGGCATCAAAGCAGAGGCCACGGGGGACTGTGCCAGGAGCGGCAAAGGCACGGGGGCCGGGGTGACATGCACAGGCAGAGCGGCCGGGGCGGGCGCTGGTGGCAGGGTCTTGGGTCTATTCAGAGAAGGAGCTGGCTTAGCCTCCGGCGCTGTTACCACTTTGCTGATGACACTGTCAACAAAAGAAAGACAAGGGAAAGTCAAAACAGGGCAGGTGAATCAAACTAAATATTTTAAAACATAATCACAAAATAACTTTCTTCTTCTAGCAGCAAAACACTTTTTGGAAAGAGAGAGTCCAGAGGTGGCTACAGACCTCAGGGTTCAAGGCTCCGCCTCTCAACTTGCTCAGAGTCGCAGCCCTGGAGAAACGTAAAGCAGCAGGGGTGATGTGTGACTCCCTGGGAGGGAAGGTGCAGCACTCACCCCTTTCCCGGAGATGTCACCAACTAATAATTAGAGCTGTGTCTTCACTAAAGGTATCTTATTCATAGAACTCATGGAAGCAACATGCCTCAGAGTCAGGGTACCTGAGTCCAAATCCTAGATCTGCTAGAGGCTAGCTATGTGACCTTGGGCAAGTCATTTAAAAACACGATTCAGGAGTGTCTATAAGAAGTTATACATTATACCACACACTTTATATATATCATCTCATCCAGTCCTCACCACAGCCTCAAAGAAGTCACGGCGATCCTGTTTTATAGAGGAGGAAACAGCATTAGAGGGAAAGGAATTGGGAAAATGGGAGGCAGGCTTTCAACCAAGGTCTTCTTGATTTCACAACTCTGTCCTTTTTTAAGTTTCTTTATTTGAAAACAAAACAAAACATATCATATCATTTCAAACATGGAGAAAACAACCTAACAGTCAGCTTAGTCACAGATAACAGATGGCAGCCCTTTTGCCATACTTGCTTCAGCTCTCCCTCCCTCCTCCACAAGTAATCACTGTCCTCACGTGGGCGGGCATGTTTTTGTAACTTTGTTCTTTGTACTTCTTCCGCCTTTAGAGATACCCATAAGCACTACTGTCTGATGTTTCGACTACAAAAGCAATATCACACTAAATTTATCCTTTGTAACTAGCTTTCCTCATTTTTTTAATTGAGGTATAATTGACATATAACACTGTGTAAGTTAGAGATGTGCTGCTTTGATACATTTGTGTTGCAATATGATTACACCAGTGGCCTTAGCTAACACCTTTATCATACCACATAATTATCATTTCTTTTTTGTGTTGAGGAAAGTTAAGATCTCGTCTTAACAACTTTGAAGTTTATAAGTATTGGCTATAATTTCTATGCTGTGCATTATTAGATCTCTAGATCTTATTTATCTACTAGTTGCCCGCTTAGTTTTAGTTCTCTTGCTTTATCCATGTTAATACATATGATCTATATTATCTATTATAATTGTTAAATTGTATTTCACGGTGTGTATGAGTCAAAGGGTTTTTGTCCAGTGCCCCACTGAGTGCAGGACATATTACCTCATAAATGTTACATGCTACCTGTAAACATGTTCAAGAATTTCCCCAGGCTATATTCCTAGAAATAAAGTCACCGGGTCACAGGGTATGCACGTTCTCACCTTCACTAGGAATCCCAAGCTGCTCTCTGAATTGACTGCACCAGCCTATCACTTTCTACTCTTCCACACTTAACTTTCTAGGCCTTGCTTTTCTGATCATCTAAGTGGAAATAAATATAGCTGCCTCTGGGGGTCCTAGTGAGACCCTGAATATAGAGAAACATGTCATAACTATGTACTGATGAAAAGTGTTAGCACCAGAATCCCAGTCATGGCTGTTGCTCTTTTTTTGGTTTTGTTTTGTTTTTGTTTTTTACTAGTTTCAGGTATACAAAGCAATGTAACAGTTAGACAGTTACACCCCTCACAAAGTGATACCGGCTGTTGCTCTTGACAACCCCTGGTACCATCATTACCAGTCCGCATGGTTCTACTTTATCAAACCACCTCCACTAAAAGCATTGATCCTCTGCTACCCTGATCACGAGTTTATAAAAGATTAAGTTATCGCAAAAATGCCATCGTTATGTAAGCAGATCATTAATGCTGTCTAATTGCTCTCTGCTTGTTTCATGCAAGTGTGCCGCCTTGCTAACTTGAACACAGCCAAAGACCAGAGAATTTAATGGAGACTGTTTGCGTGGGAGACACTTGATAAATGCTTACCATAAGTAATAGTGAATACTTATCAAACACGTACTATGTACCCCACTCCTCTAAACACTGGAAAGCCAGGTGCATACCAGGCACTGTGCTAAATGTTTACCTGCCTTATCTCACTTGATCCTCACAACAACTAAACGAGGTAAGCACTGTCATGATTTTCCTTTTGTAGATGAAGAAACCCAGGCACGGAGAGATGAAGTACCTTGCACCAATTCAGACCACTGTGTGGCAGGGCCAGGATTTAAGCCCAGGCAGTCTGATTTCAGAACCTGTGATCTTAACCTTTATACTGCATAGACTCTCGAAGCTTACTGAATGAGCTCTGCCTTCCATATATGGGGGGAGCTCAAAGTTATTATGGCAGCTATATTCATAGGACAAGCTCCTTATTTTTATGGTTAGACTAAAATTTTAAAACACACTATTTTTTGGAGGCAGTTTCCCATAATGGTTTAAAACATGGGTGCTGGAACCAAAACTAAAGCAAAAGCAGGAACTTGGACAGGTAAGTAGAACACAGATGTTTTACTTGAGGGCATATGCACGTAAGGTGAACCTGATCTTTGGTTCCGATAAAGAGCACAGGTTTCAAAGCCCAGGGCCTGCCAAAGGGTAAGGTCTATAGCACTCCTCCCCACAGTAAGGACTCACACAGGATATCCTAATTAGGTGAGGATGAATCCAAACCCAGGTATTCTCAGCTCTGGAGGTCCAGGACACTGCATTTAAAGTCATTTAGACTAGTAATATGCCCAGTACCCAGCACTAATCATCTTGAGAGGAAGTAACTTAAAATCTAGGCCTCATATTACTAATATAGATACTTATTTAAGAAAAAGAGCAGCAGATAATCAAAGATAACCACACATACAAGGAGGCAAGGTAGCAGCATCAGGGAGAAACAGAAGAAAGAACAGATTGTATAAAGAGACCCATAAAGAAGATGGATACTAGAATTATCAACTACAAAACAACTCTGCTTAGAATATTTAAAAAATAAGAGGCAAAGCTTGAAATTACCTGTAGGAAAGGCGGTTATAAATAGTGACCTAGTAGATCTAAAAAGAACATACCTTCTAGGAATGAAAAATGCAGTAAATAAAATTTAAAACTCAATGGATGGGAGAACTATAAGCTGAATAGTAAGACAGAAAAAATTATGTAGAATGTAGCCTGGAGAGACAAAAAGAATACAATAAAAAGGTCTAATTAGTACATGTTTAGTCATAATTTTAGAAAATGAGGCAGAGGCAAAATGTTAGAAAGAATATCAGAGACTTCCACAGAACTGATGAAAGATACCAATCCACCGACTTAAGATGCCTAACAAATAACAGGCAAGATAAATAAAAAGAAATCTATACCTAGACACATCAGAGTGAAACTATAAAACATCACAAAGAGAAAAGTCTAAAAAGCAGCCAGAAGGAAAAAGGAATAATTACTTTCAAAGAAACACATAGACAGCTGACTTCTCAATAGCAATGATGAATCTAGAAGACAGTGGAATAACATCTTCAATGTGTTTAACAAAAATAAGTTTTGTCTTTGAAAGCATCTTTTAAGAATAAGGATGAAATAAAGGCATTTTCAGGCAAGCAAAACCTGAGGATTTGCCACCAGTGGACACTTTGTAAAAGAAACTCTAATGTAGCAATTCTCATTTTTACATTCTTAAAAATTACTGAGAAACCCAAGGAACTTTTATGTACATTTTATCTGTGACTATTTAATATATTAAAAATTGAAATGGAAATTAAAACATTATTATTTAGTAATTCATTTAAAAGTAGCAATAATAAACATTATATGTTAACAGATAACATATATTTTTAATGAAAAGTAAGTATGTTTTCCAAGACAAAACTACTTTTTGAGAAAACTGGAAATGTTTTATATTTTTCCAAATCTCCTTAATGTATGCATATGTAACTGGATAAGGGAGAAGTATTTTAATGGTCTTTTCAGATAATTGTGTACATTCTCCTTTGATTCTCCAAAACGCAACAAGTGGCAGTTTCTTAAAAGGTAGTTCCAATATACAATCTGTATCAAAAGCTTTTCATATTCTGTCACATGAAAATCCATTGATCTGTCTAGCATGTTGAATGGATAATTTACTCACGCATGATTTTATAAGTCATGCATAGGTCATTTGGAATGTTGGTTGACTGAATTATGCAGATCTTCCAAATATTGACACATTTTATTATACAATATTAAAAAGTCAACTTGTAATGGTATGTTTTCCAAGATTCTAATTTTTACTTATAAACTTGAATTTTATAATTTATACAAATACTCTCAGGTCTTTTCTTTAAAATAACAGGCTCACTGTGTTCATTTTTGAGAAAATGTTGGCCAAAAATCAAAGCCTGAAAAACCTTTGTTTGTGAATTGTTCTCTTTTCTTTTCTTAAAGATTTTATTGGGGAATTGGGGAAGGGGAACAGCACTGGGGACTCAGGGGCAGGGGAACAGACAAGTTGCTGTCCTTTTGTTCTTCAGTCTAGCTGTGGAGGATGTTGCTTCACTGGCCCAAGCTGGCACCATCATTGCGCTCTTCCTGGGCGAGGCAGATCAGTCGCCGGCCTCTGGACGGCCGATCATGGCGGCTGCTGGCCGCTCACGCTGGCTGCTGGCCACACATGGTAGCTTATGGCAGCCCATTGCAGCAGGGGACTGTAGCCTATGCCGTCGCTGCCGACCCACAGCAGCCCAGCTCCAGGTCGAGCTGTTGTTCAGCATCTTAGCTGCAGAGGGCAGTGTCACTGGCCCTCATATGTGGGATCCAAACCGGGGCCCTCGGGCATCCCAAGCCAGTTTTTAACCAATGTGCCATGCGGCCAGCCTTCAATTGCTCTTTCAAGTAACTGGTATTTTGTGAGAAAAGCAGCTAGTTCAGCTTGCAATTTAAATAATCACAAATGCTTATCCTCAAGCCAACTATCATATTTTAGTGGGAGTAAAAC